AGTCCCGCAACAGCAAAACCCCTTTCCAGTCTCATGGATTGGGCTAATAATACCAATGATTTTGTTAATAGCAAGTTTACTATTATAATATTATGGTCTTAGATGGATCACTGAGAATGCTTATCCTTGGGTTTGTTCAACCTTGCACTTCTCAGCATCCTTCCCCCATACTTTTTGCTTTTCTTTTCATGAGATTAATCTTTGCACATTGCACAAAAGCAAGCCCAGGGAGCTGCAGCTCATACTGAGACTATGAAATTCATTTCCATAAGATGCATGATGGCCATCAATTTGGACAGCTTTCGAGGAGGATTCGATGCGTGCATGGAGGAGAAGGCTACTAGCTTTGCTGACGAGGTGTTGCCTCCTGCATTCTCAAGCCAGCTGCTGGGGTGCCTGTCTGGGAAGGTGCTACTGCTCTCACGTCCCACCTGTGGGCTTCCCACAGGTGTCTGATTGACCCCGTGGGAACAAAATGCTGGACTAGATATGTCTTTGGTCTGATCCAGCAGTCTTACGCAGCCTATCAAATATCCTTTAAAAATGTACTGATGCATTCATTCGTAACATTCAGTCTTAACTTTATCCACTTTGAGAATCGTAACATGTGTCCTGGCATTTCATTATGGGCTTCCCAGAGGTACGTGGAGAAAGGGTCAAAAGAACGCAGAGGCTTTTCAAGGAAAGCAGCAATGAAAAATCCAAAGCTATGAAGTAATTGTGATTGGTAGATGACTGTGTCTCAAATAAACATTTATTGGGAGGCTGCTGCTAAGATTGTCCAGATTGCAAAAGTGCCCAAGAGAATGTGAAGCAGACCACAAGGGAAGGGCTGCACAGAACCCAACCCCTGCAATAAATACATTTTACAGCAAGGAGGCCTTGCCGCTCGCTGTGGCAGAAAGAGACGCCCAGGCCTGGACCACCGGCTTCCTGGTTTGGCAAGCCAGGAAGGCCAGTATGCCACCGAAAGGGGAAACACCGTCGGTAGCCACAGGACATCCTCGAGGTCCTGCGAGGGTTACTAAAGAGAGGATGGCACTCAGACTTTCCTCAGCCTGATGGCGTTTCATTTTAATCAGCCCTATATCCATGAGAACTGGATGATGCACAAGGGACGCAAAGCAAAGCAGCAGAACAGGCTTGTATAAGCATCGTCTGGATGTGACTGCTCCTCCACATAAAGCGGCAGTGGGACTAAGATGTTTGCTGCTTTGGGTGTCATCCTGAGAGAGGTGCTGGCCCAGGTTGTGGGGGAGGGCAGGGGGAACACCGGGACAGACAGAGCAAGCGCATGGAAGGCTGGCCCCTGAAAGCCGCCCAGGGGAGTGCTTTTCCTTGCTTTGACTGCACACTTTTCCTAGTGCTCAGATAGTAAAAAACACATTTTATTTTTTATCTAAAGAGCTGCTCTACGCAAATAAGCAAGTGCCCAGGCTTATTCATTATTTTTATCAAATATGTTGAAGCAATCCCCTCGCAGAGCAGTGTAGATAAAGTAGTGGAAGGCAAGCTGTGGTCTAAAGAGGCCATGCTGTGCTGTGCAAACCACCCCAGAGCAAGCGTCAGACCCGGCGGGCGGCCGCTCTGGACCTGCCTGCCGGGTGGTGAGGCGGCATCTGAGGAAGGGCAGGGGCTGAGCATGCGTCGCCTTTCCACGAAGCAAGACAAAACCAGCAGCTAAGTCGACCCAAATCTGCCATGAATCCAGGCACCTGTGACCCGGCACCAACCAGGCCTGTCTCCCCCTATTCTGTGCGCATACCCATGTGCCCTGGGCGAACCACTCTTCGCAGTCCCCGTGCCTGGGAATGGATCTTGAAAATCCTGCTCGTGTAGAATGTGCTGATGCAACATAATTTGCCTGCTTCATTGGGCAAGAGGCAGGGGAATTGTGTGTTGCAGCGAAGTTGCATTGCAGCAAAGAATCTCCTACTGTTATAATTAAACAGCTGTCTGCATATCCATTCACACCTCTTTCAGGGAGGATTTATAGCTCTGCTGTACAAATAAATTGAGCCCGGAAAGTCTGCAGCTTGGCAAAGGAGTCTCTGTGAGCAGGAACACGGCTGCCTTGGCCAGGTGCCTTCGGATGCCCAAATGGGAAATCAACATGGAGACAATGTGAAGTGTGTCTGTGGAGCCACCTGGCCTTCCTTCTTGCCAGAGAACTGCATGTTCGTGCGCCCCAAACGGGGTGCGATGACAGCAGGCGAACAAATGAGTTCATGTGAGGCCACAAATGGCTAGAGGAATACAGAAGGTGTGTCATCGAAGGCTCACTCTCCCAGTCTTTTGAGGAACAGATAGTTGAGAGAGATTAGGACAGATAGTTTAACCAACAGGAAAAGACACACATTTCCCACCTGGTTTGAAAGCCACTTCATTTTCTGCTGAACTAAAGCAGGGGAGGGGCGCGACAGGCATTGGGGGGATCCCAGAGATCCGTGTGAGCCATCTTTATACTGTCACTTGATCTTTCTGAGGATCCTATGGATCTGCCTTACTGGGCCAGCCCTCCATCACCTGGCACTGCCGCTTTGCACAGTAGCTTTTCTCAGGGGAAGTGGCATGAAAGTGCAGGTAAGTGGCACTTTCTAGGGACAAGTCCGGCCAGCTGAAGCCTGAGTTCAGAGAAGAACAAGAGCCGTTCTGCATGTGTGATGGGGCTTTCTTGCCTCTTCCTGCCCACCACAGCCTGGTGTCTTGCCCCCAGAGGCACTTCTGGGGATGGTGGGCTCTCCAGAATTGTAGAGGGCTACAGAAGAAGCAAGGGGCAGGAAGCATTGAGACGCTACCCATCACCACCTTTAGGCTACCATTAAGGTGTGCTTATTAGGTTGTGGTTGTGGCTGTTGTTTACACTGCTTGTATATCCTACCCTGGAACCCAAAGCAACTTCCATAGCTCCCTCCCTGTGTGGCAGGTTAGGCAGAGAGTGAGTGACTGGCCTGAAGTCATCCAGGAAGTTCCTTGGCTAAGAGGAAGCGTCAGTGCTCAAACCACCACACCACACGCTGGGACTCTTACACTGGGGATTAAACCAGAAGCAGCTGGAACACGCCAAGCTGTCTTCCCCAACATGGTGCTCCCTGGATGTGTTGCCCCTCACCTCCAGTAAGCACAGCCCGGTAATGGCATCCGTGGTCTAGCTCATTGGCGGACACCAGGCTGGGGAAAGCTGGTTTAGAGAAAGGATGGCGAGGACTGGCAAATTCTCGCATCAGCTGGAATAATTTTGGTATGGCGGATAAAATCAGCATGGTATTCTATCATTTGTAATTCTCTGATCATTCATGCCTTTAAGAACTAGAGTATTTTCCCCATTGGGACTCATTTCAGAATGAATGTCTTTGAGAGTCCTGTATCTCCCAGCTGGAATTTTATTTATTTGATTTATATCCCATTTTTTTCTTACAATGAGCTTAAAGCAGCTTACACAATTCTCCTCCTCTTGCACTCCATCTTATCCTTACACTATCAACCCTGTGAGGTATGTTGGGCTGAGAGTCTGTGACAGGCCCATAGCCACCCTGTAGACTCCATGACTGAGTGGGAACAAGAACTCACCACACTGGCTTTCAGTGGATTTGGTGGAAGGTAACACACACATATTCCCTGGAACACGTTATTGTGAAAATAAGTGCTTTGCACGCCCAGACTTCAACCCAGGGCTGCTGGGCTATCCAATAAATATTCAAAATAAAATGTCAGAACTATATGGAGTCTGAGAATCAGATCTGCAAACATGTATTCAAAGAAGACTGATTATACCAGCTGGTGCTGTATCTGGTGGGAAATCAATTCAGTACTACTAATGGGTGTTTTGCTGTTGTATTTTGGACAGGGAGGGGAAGTGTGTTTCTAAACAGTAAGTATTCATCTACAATACAATCCTAAGCATGTCTTGCATGGACGTTACTCCCAACTACGTTTGTGTAGGATTGCAGTCTTGTTCTCAAACTGGCTGCTGCCGCCCACACATCATAGAACTGCCATGCCTTGCTGCCAAAAGTCAATTTAGAGGTACTGTTCAAGTGATGCAAACTTCTTGGGAACCATTTCAGGGTTCCTCTTTCTTTTCTGGTACCAGATCTTGAGAAATACTAGTTTGTTCCTAAGCATCTGGGGGTGGGAAGAAAATCAGGGTATCTTTTTTTTAAAATGTTAGTGCAAGTTATTAGAACCTATGGGCATATGGGTACTTCCTTCCAATTTTCTCCTCATCCACCCACCCAACCTATCGCGATGCAAGAAATGTTGCCCAATTTATTTGAGTTCTTCAGGTAAAACAACCCAGATTCAGTGTGAGATTAAGCTTGTTGTTCAAATAGTCCTTTACTGTGGAATGCAGTGACCCATAAGGGATTCAGTGTGTGTGACAAGATACACTTCAGGACCAACACCCAGAAAATGGAGTGCCCTAAATGTGTAATTTTCCCCCTTACCTAAGGCATTGGATCTCCCTGTCTCTTGGTTACTAGAGACAAGAAGAAATTAGATCCCTTCACCACAGTGAAGCTATCTTGTTATATATCATGAACCTTTTCAAATAATGGCCAAAATAAATAAATAAATAAATAAAAATGCTGCACTGGATTACATGCAAGACAGCAAAGGGGCTAAATTTAATTAAATTTGGGAATCTCAGCTTTTCCAGTTTGTAGTTTGGGTGCTCTCCACCATATTGCCTCTAAATTTCTAAAGATGTAGAAGTTCTAAATGTTCAGATTGTGGGATTCTAAAGCTACTTTTGTGAAAAGTTAGCCTGGGCTTAAAGCATGTTGCAGAACATTTATTCTTAAATTGTGCCTCTTACTTCCTTGCAGCCCCATTCAGCTGTGTCACAAAACAGCAATGTGGTGGTGGTGATGATGTAGCAGATGTGGTATTTAGGACTATCCCGATAGCAAATGCCTTTGCTGAAATTATCACTAAACGTCTGGTCCTCCGAAACGCTTCTGCAGCTGGACAGTCAGAAAACTTTACAATGCAACCTATTTTTATATTCAAAAAATCATTTATTGTATTCTGTTGTTAATATATTTTCTTTTCTCATTCATTTGCCCTTGCTCCAACACTGGCCCCAGTGCACAAGTGGAGCGCTCAGTGATCAACAAACCAGACATCACACACACACACACACATATTGTCTGTTAATTATCAAAATAGACTAAATAAAACCAGAAATACAGTAACATTCAGGGGGGAACACATGGAAAAAATGGGCATAACCAGGTCATGCTGCTGGAAGGTTGATGGGAGCAATTGCTCCTGATTTCCCCTCATCCCAAATTACATTATGGTCTTGTCCAGCCTTCCCCAGCTGTTTAGGATGGGAGTTGTAGTTCAACACATCTGGTGAGCCTCAGGTGGGGAAGGCTGATCTTACACCATCCTACATCTCACCCTCTGATGCAGCAAGAGCATCACTCTTAAAAACCTTAGGCCTATGAAAACATGTTTATCTGTAACTGCCCCGAAGATTTAGACTTGCAATGGAGGACAAACTTCTCTTCTGACTGCATAAATTAGCCTTCTTCAGAGAACTTGCCCTAAGACTGGCAAATGAATGGAAGGCAGCATTAACGCCAAGGTATTTTTCTCAGTGTTACACAACTTGTGCTGGTGTCTTGTATCTAGGACTGCTGGGATATTGTGTACGAAGGTGGAAGTGGGATGATAATAAGTGCCCACAGATGAGGGCGTATGCTCTGCTGAGTTCTGTCATTGAAGGACTATAGTCACAAGTTTGATGACCCAGCAGCACAGTTGGAACCAGCTTTATCCTAAGGCTGGAAAATGCTCATCCCTCAAAAGCAACTGGTTGAAGCTCCTGTGACAGGTACCCAAGCCCCTCTGCTGTTGCTATTTTGAAAGCAATTCACTAGAATCTAACCGGTTGATTCTTATGGAGATTGTCCTCTTCAAAGAAGGGAAGATGGAAGGGGAGAAAAAGACCCTCCTTGGGAGGAAAGGAGGTATTCTGTGTGCCACAATGTTGAGGGCTGAGGTCTCAACACTGAATGTGACTGGAGTCAAACTTATACTCTCTTCCAGGAAATTCAGACTGTATCCACGCTTCCCCAACCTGATGCCCTCAGGATGTGTTGAACCACAGCTCTCACCTTTGTCAGCCAGCACAGGTCTCCTTGGCTGAGGATGATGGGAGTGTGTGCCTAACAGTGGTTGGGGAAGGCTGAAACACACCACCAAGGATTATGGAGCAGGCAGCAGGCAGAAAGCTTAACTGAAGTCTAGAGTCAAACTCCCTAAGCATATTGGGCTACCTCAGAGAGCTACAGCTGAAGCCCATCTCTAGTCACTTTGTTTATAAAAGAAAAAGAAGTAAAAACAATCTAAACGATAGACAGAGAAAGAGTCAAATCTACCATGGGTATAAATAAGTGACAGTAACAATGGTTGGACATTCCCGGTATGATGTTGACCCTGAAATTCAAGTAGTGTGCACAAGCCCAGAGCATTTCCTCAAAGCCACAGTCCGCAAAAGAGAGATGCCCTGAGGTTGGACACTGGAACCACGTACCACACGAGTGCCACTGGCACAAGCAGCCTCCTCCATGGCATAGGAATGGAATCGGGGTCACTGGTGAGCATACAGGGAGGGTGAGGAGGGGCGCGGTCTCTTGTGTGGCCACCGCCTCCTGGGTCACCTATGAATGCCAGCAGGGCAAGGCCATATCTCTGTCCCATCTGGATTTTTACAAGGTCATCCCTACTGTCCGCCTGAGGCAAGGGCAGCGTCCTCAGAGCTGGAAGGGGTACTGCTTCAGGTAGTCCTTCATTCTCTTTGGTAGAGGCAACTGCTCCGTCTCTGTGGTGGATCGGTGGATCTGTAGCCGGCAGAGGTGCTGCAGGCTGGGAGCCGAGTCCTTGTGGCTGTGTGGCTGGATGAGCTTCAGGTGCACTGCTGACGCTGCCATCTCCTTTTGGATGGGAGGCGAGGGCATGGGGGGCGGGTAAGGGGTGTCGCTCTTGCTCTCCACAGTGCAGGAAAGAACGTAGTGCTGGATGAGGCTGACCACATCCGGGAAGGCCAGAATGCGCGGCTTGGAGAGGCAGTTTGAGTCTAGCCGGAACTTGCTGTCAGCATACTCAATGCGCACGTTGGTGGGGCCTCGGTTGGTCTTGACAGAGAGTGTGAACAAGTAGCTGGGGTGGGTGCTGTCCCGCACCAGGAAAGTCCCTTCTGGGGTCTTCTGCAGCTGCTGCTTGGCTTCACTGGCTGTGATCGAGCCCCAGTACCAGCCTAGGAGGGAGTCCAGGAAAAACAAAGGATAAGAAACACACAGGAAGAAGGCCTGGCTGGGTTCAAGAGGGCCACATTTGGGGGAAATGAAATGTAGCTATTTTTCTAGCACACTGGCATCCCTGACTCCAGTGGGGCCTGAATGGCACATAGAGCCCTTCTCCCGCTTCATCTGATTTTCACTACAGTCCTGTGTGGTTGATCGGGCTGAGAGCGCATGGGTCTCAGTCCAGGTTTCATGGTCCCAAGTTGCTCCAACCCCTCACAGCCAGAGCCCCTGCCCTGCACACAAAGTGAGTCCCATTGAGTTCAGCGGAAGTTGCTTGCACAGAAACCTGAATGGAGCCGCCCTGAGCAGCCATTTGCCAGGTAGCTTGGAACTCTGGGAAAAAGGTAATCAGTTGCTGGGTAATCATGTTGCCATTCAGGATCTCTGATCCTGGTGTCCAGGCCCACCCCAGGAGAGCTGTCCTGCAAGTCAGCCACTCCGAACTGGCTGGGGGATTCTGGGAGCTGCAGCCCACACATCAGGTGGACCAGGCTGGGTGAGGCTGATGCAAGCTGTCTCTCTCCTGCAGGCAGTTTCCAGTAAGGGGGCCTTTCATCACCATCCCTTGCCATGTGCAGGTCAGGAATGCAATCGGCTCGACTTTCACGGGTCAGACGTTCCGCCTCAGGCCTCTTACCAGATTCCCGCAGATACGAAAATGTTTTGGCAATGCACAGCAGATCCTCTTCTGGGTCTCGTAGTGGAGGTGGGCTGCTCTCAGGCATGGGCGCCACGAAGGGAGGAACTGACCCTTCTTGGAAGGGTGCGACCGAGAGAGGCTGCATGATCTGCTCCGACAAATTCACTTCAAGGCCCCCAAGTGACAGTCTCCTGGCCTTCTCCTCTGCCAGCAAAGGATGGGATCTGAAGAAGAGCATTTTGTATACTTTTTAATCTTGATTGGAACCAGGCTGGGTCATATAACTGTGCTTATTATATGCATCCTTTGCACTACAATGGGTTTTGTTGTGTAAGCAGATTCCTGTATGAGTTTCATTACAAAGAGAAGAAAGCCAGCCCCGTGCACCACAACTGTGAACTCACTCCCAAGAAAGTGAGCCTCGTAGACACTGCAGGGCCTCCTTTTGCATGGACAACATGCAGTGACGCACACTCTTAGCCCTCCCACTTAGGCAGCTGGTAACGGGCAGCACATTCCCCTTCATGGCTATGCAGAAGTGTCCTGTTCCACTCAACAGAATTTACTCCTAAGCAACCATGCACAGGGGCACATTCGTGCATATGGTCCCAACCAATGCAGCCTGCTTCAGCATTCTGCAAGAGTGACCTTTGGAGCAGCACGCCCAGAGGAAACCACAGAGATATAAATCCTTTGACTCCGCCATGATGACCTGCGGCAGAACTAAGCACACAAATGGACCCAGTATTTTTCTTTTTGTTCCTGAATATGTCTCTTAAATATCTACTCTTTTTTAAAAAGAGAGAAAAGAAAACTGCTTTAGAAAGTCCTAAGAGTAACATATGGATAAAGTGTTAAAATTCACCCTGACCCATTGCAAATATTGTGTTCTATTTTCCACTGTATTCCTGACACTACAGTGCCTGAATAAATTGTAAACAAGAATAACTATTAACATACATGCACAAAATAAAATATCTAGGTCAAAATCTAGTACTAATTTCAGCATGTTTCTGGGTATGCTTGTGTTCATGTGTACCCAAGCTATTCGTCCTGTAATCAGATAAAAATGCAACCCTGGGTATATTTACTCCCAGCAATCTCCTTGAGGTCAACATGAGTTTCTCCCATGGGACTGTGCCCTTAATGTTTATATCTCCCTTATACTTTTAAGATAATAACTCAAATGTAGTTTGATGTACAACTATTGCAGTTATTTCTGGGTGTTCCTATTGTCTTTTCTAATAAAGAATTTCCCTCCAAACATCTCTAGAAACCTAACATTTCCAGAGGTCTTCTTTCACTGTCAAGCTCTCCAACATAAAGGGGATTTAGAACATAGCAAAGTGTGAAGGAGGTGGTGGGCGGTGGGTGAGCCTGGCTCTTCTTTCTCAGGGTGGTCTCAACAGACACCTTGTCGCACGTCTGCCTCAGATGTGCCACAGTGGCCCTGGGGTGCCTCCAGCCATGACAACAACGGGCCAATGTTCTGTGACCTCTCACCAAGGGACCACTATGAAGCTCCCGCAATTCCTTTTGGAATCAGTGTAGCTGGAGGGAAGGCTGAAGGTGAGGCAGTCTGCTCTCCATGCAGGCAGAGCTCCTCCATAATGAGTTCTAAAACAGCCGTGCATTCCAGTTTGTTTTCAAATGGTTTAAAGAAACATTTAAAAAATAAAATCCTGACCCTGAATTTTTGATAGAGCAAGGCATGGTAAAATATGGTTGGCTGTGTGGAGGAAGGATGATGAGCACAAAATTTATAAGAACTGGAGTTTCAAAGAATAGAATATATAGTTCAGGGGTAAATTACAATGCAGCCTATACTTGAATCTGGTTTTGCCTGGCTTCATCTCCTACTCTCCCATCAATTACACTGCTTTTTTCTAGCTGCCCCAAAGACTGTACCAATCAGATGCTGACCTCCTGGGATGTCATCTATACATCCACAATTTTCTCCTCGTTCAAGCTGCAGAATGGATGAAGGGCACATGCAACAAAGTCAACAGGTCTGAGTCCCGTTTGCACAAACCTGTCACCTTTGTCAGCTATAATATATGGCATTGATAGCTTGCAGTGTCAGTGATACCCTGATAAAAGCCTGGGATAAGGTCACTTATCCACCCAGTCCCATCAGCACCCTGCATCTTTTTGTTTCTCCTTGTAGACCCATCATGCTACATCCATTAACCTAATTTAGAACTGAAGTTTAAAGATGGGTAAAGGAAAAGCAGGTAAAAAGTACTACCACCCACAAGGAATCTGAAAACAGATTTCTTTACATACACAAACCAATCAATCTATCAACTAATAGCCTTGGCTTTCTGGGCTACAAGTTTTTGAGTCTTCCTAGAAATGAAAAGCAGGAGATCATAGAAATCACATGTAAATCACATTCCTTAGTATCTCCTTCTAGAAGGAGATACAGTAACCAAACATGATGCACATGCTGAACCTCAGTACTGCTAGAAATCCACAGCACTTGATGTTTTGTCCTGGACTTCACCCTTTCCCCATAACAATATAAAGCTCTTCTCATGTGAAGAGCTTCCAATAACCATCTCCATGCTCCAGTTTCTCAACTGGGTTCAGTTCAATAGCTTTTCTGTCCTGGTGTGCCTTAAGCAACAGTACCTATGCTGGTCTGTGATCCTCATTTCTTTGCATCTTTCACAATCTCTGAGCTTTCCAAAGCAGCTGTTGTACCAACTGGCAAAGCTGGGCTTAATAATGCTTTGCACAATAATAAGTGACTAAACAAAGGGCAAGAAGAATATCTCCAGTTCCAGACTCTGCTGGCTGAAGTCAACTAGTGACCTTCATATTGTCCTACAAATGTCTAGAATCTAGATTAAGCAGAGTTTCTTCCCTTGCAACCCCTGTCCGTTCTAGTCATCTCTCTGTCTCTCCCTCCTGTTTTAGATGTTAAGTTCCTTAAAGGCAGGAACCAGATTTTTGTTTGTTTATGAATCCCTGTTGAGCTCCATTAATAGCTATGCTAATAATATAGTTAGTTATATGAGTAATAAACAAACAAAGAAAAAAGAAAAAACTTGTTCCATATTTTCCGCAAGACTAAAACATCCTTGAATATTCCAGGAGCAGGAGTAGAGTATTCTAGGCACTGCTGAAGCTGTTCCTGTCTGTATTTATAGGGTTTTTTCCCTTTCTAGAAATGTGTGCTTCTCTGTTCGTTCCGTCATGTACAAGATCTAAATTGGTTGCCCTTCTTCTCCCGCACTGCCAAAGACAGATGTCTGCCATTCAGATGACCAAATGGACAATGAACTAACGTTACTTTCCTGCTCCCAGATCTCATCTAGTAACAGTCACTGTGGTTGGCACCAGCAGCTTTCAGCTCGCCAAGGGGGAGAAGAGGGCATATGCCACTGTAACCCACATGACTTCCTGAACTGGCTAAATACTTGGCAGGGGACTCTTTGAGCCAGAGGTCTCCTTGCTGGGATTACTAAGCCGAGAGGGCAAGGGACCCGCCTGGTGACTCCTGTCTGCTGCATCCCTGGCAAACAAGGACCCCCGAAAACAGATCGATTGTAAAAGCCAAACAATTCCATCTCCAGTGTTAGATTGTGCTTGCAGGGTTTAAAACACATTTTCTTTCCTTTGGAAAAAAAACATGCCTTCCCTTTATCTAGGGCAGAGCTGTCTGTATGCTGCAATGCAATGGCCTTTTCTGTGTGTGCATGTTATCTCCTTGGGGAAATAGTAGCTGAGATCCAGTAATTGCATGACTGCTGGCTGCTCAGCTAGGGCAAAAGGGGAGAGAAAGAGAAAACAAACGAGACTCTGCTCTTCATCAGAGTGAGGGGCTTGGCTGTGTCATGGCAAGACACAGAAAAAAGAGATGCTGAAGTATGAGGGAGTGTGTGGCTGACAGCTGGCTCAACCATCCACTGGGAGTATGGGAGAGACTCACTGAGCAGAAAGTTGGGGAACATTTTTGGGTAGGAGTGTGTGCATGTGTGATACAACAGATATGTATATTTTAATATGTATAAAGCAGAGCTTCCTAAATGTTGTCACTGGAGAAGGGAAACAGAAGCAGCCATTACAGCCCTAGGGCAAACTGCTCAACAATCAAGGGAAAACTGTAAGCCACGTGCAGTGCAATAGGAGGCTAGAGAGAAACACGAATTCTTGCACACTGAAGTGTGATGTATCTGCAAAAGGGCTTGGGCTGAGAGCCAGTATGTGCTGTAGCTGATAGGGTTGGACTGAAGAGGTTCAAGTTCAAATCCTTGCTCAGTCATGAAGCCCATGGAGGACATTAGGCAATCTCTCTGTTTCAATCTACTTTGGGGTACGATTCAAATGGCTGAAGTACACATAATTATAGAGTGCCATGGAACTCCAACTGAGGAACCAGTTCAACAAAAAAATGAATTCGGAAGGAACAGTTGGGAATTTGATAGCTTAGATAACATGCAAAATTACAGCATAATCCTAAGCATATCTACTCAGAAGCAGGCCCTACTCAGTACCTGCACACAGATAAATGTGTACAATGTTAGACTAATTAAAAGCAACTCTGTTATGGGACTCTTCACATGGACTGAAGAGAACAGGAGTAAAAAATTAAGAAATCAGAAAGTCAACAAGGTGCTAATCACAGCTATAAGCAGAAGCCCAAAGGAGAGGGTAGAAGCCCTTACTTCCAGCAGGCGTGGGGCGTGGGGGGACACGATTGGATTCACTTTCAGAACAATTTTAAAAGGCCTAGAAATATTTCTCGCCTACAAGCTGGCCAGTATTTTGGCTTGCCCAGCTTCTAAAATAACCTGTAGGATCTGCAAATGTTAATCTGGCTGGACAAGGTACATACGAGATCTTTTCAGAAACGTGCACATGGTAATAACAAGATTGTATCTAGTCAAATTCGGTAGAAAAATGCCAGTCTAATTTGTGTTGTCCTAAAGGCTACCAATCTAGAGCCTTTGAACTCAGGGAGTGTTACTTCTGAGTAGGGAGGATTGTACTGTAAGTTTTCTAGTGTGCTCTACTAGAAAAAAGTGTGAATTCTCTCTCACACATACTTACACACACTCAAACACACATAAACACAACATATCCTGGATGGAGAAGCTATTTTCCATTTTAATAATCGGTGTAAATTTTTCAGAATTAAAAACAGAACTTTTAAGTCTATACAAAAATCTTACCCTTGAACACACAGGATCATGTCACTCCAGGACCAAGCAAAGAGCATCAAGTCTTCAGGGAACTGGGAAAAAGTGCTCCCTCTTTGGTTATCTTCTCCGTAGCTTTGTTCCCAAACAGGAGGTACGACCGTCAATGAGCAACTCACTGGGAGAGAGAAGGCTGAATTTTTCCCAACGAGCCTTCCCAAAAGCACCTTGGAGATCGCTCACAGAAAGCCACTTGAGGTATTCGGAAAGTCTTTGCTCAGCAAGCTACGGGAGAAAAAATGCGCTTGACCTTAGCTCTTTCCCAGAGGTTGAGGTTAAAAGGTAGCACTCAAAATAATTGCTTTCGAATTAGCAAAGACAAAGATACGGATATGTTTAAGAAGAAAAAATATTTCCTTCCCGATGGCGTTTGAAATCGCCCATAAAAAACGGGAATTAAAAAACAATAAATATATATCGCAATAAATAATCTCCCTCCGCCTAAGTGAATGGAAGCAGGGAGCGGAGAGAGTTGCAGCTCAGCTCGGTGCTGCCTCTTGAAGTAATGCTGCGCTTGGGGAGCGGAGGGGGGAAGCACTACTTAGTAATCTTTTGTTTGCTGCCTTTTAATCTATTCCAGGAAGTGGCGGATTCCTGGAATTGTATTGTATTCGCATCACTGTTCCGACAGTAAGAAAAAAGAATAGATATAAATAGACGGGTCCGTAACAGATATCTTGATTTCAGTCTTGCTCTGCCGGGATCAAAATGATACTCCCCGCCGCCCCAAAAATAAACCCCCCTGGAGGAAAAGGAGCGTGCTGAAATGAACCTGTCTATCTCTTGAGGAAATCCAGCTGAAAAAAAAGTTGCTCGTTGTTTTCGGTTTTATTCGGCATTGGCGGCTCCGTGTTCAAGGAAATACCTTTGATAGATTTCCAAGAACTTTCCAGGAAAGCGGGGCGGGACCGCAGAATCCTGCCAATCAGAGCGAAGGGGGCAGGGCCAGAGGTCGGAGCCCTGCCAATCAGAGGCGGATGACGCGGCATGCTGCCATGCTCATAGCCCCGTCGAGCGGCGGACGAGCCCGCACGTCGACCCAGGCAAGCGGAGCCGCAGCCGGCCCGAGGTCTTTGGGCATCGCCAGCCCGGAGGGGGCGCGCGGCGTCCCTGGCGGCCCCCCTGGGCGGAGGGCAGCGCAGCGCAGCGCGCTCCTTTGCACAGAGCGGCGGCGTGCAGCCTCCGTGACGGGGCTGCCCATGACGTAAGGGACTTCTAAACTTCTTTCCAAAGTTTCCAGGAAAGCATATGAGCCCCCCCCCCCCCAATCCTCTAGCTCCATAAGCGGATTTTGAAACGCTCGGGTGAAAACGGCATCGAAAAGTTTTAGATGCGTCCCCACAAATTGCCTTTCATAACAACAGATCCGACATCCGTCTCATTACATCACGATGAGCATTTCTCAGAATAAAACAAGATATAGCTTCATAAGGCTGCGAAGTGTAAAAGCTGTAAGAGAAGGGAACATTTGGGGGGGAAACGGGATGTGTTAGCGACTTCTGAGAAATCATTTAGCAGTGACAGAATACACTAACCCAGTGACATAATCACAGCCAGAATAGGAAAACAATCTGGAAGCTTTAATACCAAGGCAACCTAAAACCCTACAGAACTAGACAATAATTAAGAAACCATTACATTATCCATTGTTTCTTCCCAGATAATAAGATTCGCCCATCCATATGGGGGCCAGAGGAGACTAATAGGCTCATCCACAAAAAACAAAAAACCATTTCCTAGTTCTCTTCCAGGCAGCATATGATGGTGTATGATTATATTTTCTGTTCTCAAAGTGATCTGAAAGACAGTGCAATCAGCACCCTAGACTACTTTGAAAATCAAAGCCAAAGGATGTAATTCTTGACATAGCTTCCTGGAAAGCTGGCTCAATTCAGAAAACAAGCAGCTGTGTGATGTCTGCTTTAAAAGCAAGGGTAGAGTTTGTTCCACCTGGCAAATTACTGTGATCAGCAGGAGGAACTGTGGCATTTTTGTTTGATTCTTCTCTATGGGGTTGTCAGTTGAGACCTTTCTGAATGAGGGAGTTGGGGTTATAGCTTGGAAATGCTTGACTGAATGCCTAGAATCTCTGGAATGTCACTGCCAGTACAATTGGGAGCAGATGACCCATCTATTAAGCTCTAATAAAAATCCCAACAAACACTGTATTAAACTGCTTCAAAATACAAATCTTGCTTATGTATAAAAATAAGTTTGTCAAGTAAAGGTGTTAAGCTATTAAGATGTATTAAGTGATGTTGTGATTCTTTCTTTCATAATACTGGAGTCCTAGTTTGCAATTTACTTGTGAGTCTTAAAAGAGGTCCGCCTGGCACCGTCGTTACTGGTTTTTCAGCGCCAGGTAAAGACCTTTTTATTTAAACATCATTTCAATTGTTAAAACATATGATCTGGCCTGGGCAACTTCTTCTTCCTTCTCTTTCTCATCCTATATTTTTATTTTATACTGATAATTTTAATTTTGTATTTGTAAATCAATGTATTTTTTGTATTGTTATATTTAATGGTAATTTATTATGTACTATTGTATTTCAATGTATTTTATCATGTTGTAAGCCGCCCCGAGGTTTCGGCAAGGGGCGGCATAGAAATGTTATAATAATAATAATAATAATAATAATAATAAAAACTATTTTTTATTAGATTGTTATCCCACCCCATTAGCCATAAGGCTTCCTGGGTGGTTGTACAGACTTCTCTGAACACATTTTCTAAAAAACATAAAAACAGCTATGCTGGATCATAGCAAAGGTCCATTTAGTCCAGTCTACAAGCAAAGAACAGGTCAGCCTAGAACAGATGTCATGGAAAGCTGAGTTTAACTGATGCTTTAGTTTTCCAGACAGATCGGTAAACATCAATTCTCCTCCTTCCCTTCCCTTTTCTTGTGTCTTGTATTTTTTTTCCAGATTGTAAGCCTGAGGGTAGGGATTGTCTGCTTGCTGGTTCTTGTAAGCTGCTATGGGAGTCTTTTCATTAAAGAGCAGGACTTAAATATTTTTGAATAAATTAAATCCATAAGTGTACTGGCACCTTCCTGCTGGAGTTCCCCATCAACTGGTATGCAAATCATACTGCCTCACATACTGGAATTAATATATAGCCATCAGGACTACTAGTCATGGATAATCCTATCTTTCATGAAGTTGTCTAATCCCCTTTTAAAGCCATCCAACTTGCTCAGGAACTTTAAGTCAGCAGTCATATCCAAATGCATCTGTAACTTAACAGCCCTGCCATAATAGCTGGTGCTCAGAAAATGGTTTGAGGGTGGGAAGAGGGATAGTTTAAGGGACTATCACAGGTCTGGCCGCAAATGGTCTGGTTTCAGAATTTGGGGTATGACAACTCTCAGTCTGCTGAGACTTGAGGTGAACAGTACATTCCTCTTAAACATGGATGCAAGTTCCAGTAAGCAGCTGCTTAGGATCAGGAGGCCTTAGCTGGGCAATTGAGAGTAGTAACCTACAAGACAAGGAGGTTAATTAAGGAGGAGTGGATGAACTTGGCCAGGCAAGGCCTTCTTCACTGAGATAAGTGGCTCTGACTGAAGATTATGCTTTGAGGCTCATGCTGTATGAGGACTTTATGGGCTGGACCAGTCCTTGAACTCAGTTGTCAGTGGTGCACCAGCTGTTATTGAAGCCAAGCTTTGATGACACCCAGTTTGGTCTGCAAGGCCTATGTGACTAACAGGGCAGGAGGTAAGGAGGAAAAGTTGCAGTCTGAACCTCTTTGTCCCAGAGGCTCATGGTGGCTAGTCTGTTTACAATCACACCAAGCTCTCATTTCAGTGAAAGGAAGAAAAAAGGCATCTAATCAGATCACATTTTGAAAGGATCTGTGTGAAGACTGTTTTTTTCCCAATTAACTTTTTGGAATTCACACTATTTCCATTTCAAAGTGGAATTCTCTGAGATTATAGATGTATTACACAGAAATGTCACGATCACAGAATCTCATTGAAGACTGAACAGCATGGGAGTGAAAGGCTTTTTTTTTTTTTGTCCTTCAGACTTCCTAGACTTGTTAGAAAGCGCCACCTAGTAGTCGAAATTTGAAAAATGACTTTTTAAAGTGTTGACTATTCACATTGATTTGTAATTGCATGTTACCCTTTGAGATTGTACTTCATAGTTCAGGAGCTTTACAGAAAGGTTCCAAATTGTTGTGGTTGCTGAATGGACCAATTTTGTAATTAACATTAAGTTGTTAGGACAACAAGACCTTAAGAAAGTAAGTGGAGCTCTGCTGGATCAGACCAAGGATCCATCTAGGCCGGCATTCTGAATACACAGTTGCCAGCCTGTTGCCTGTGGGAATCCCACAAACAGACTGCAAGGCCCATCCAGTCATGTTCCCCAGCAACTGGTAGACAGGGACACCCTGCCTCTGATCCTGGAGAGATCATATAGCCATCAGAACCAGAAGCCATTAATAAGCATATCCTCCATGAATATCTTATCCCGTTGCATTCTTTTTAAAGAGAATTCCACAGTTCAAGTATGAACTGTGTAAATAAGTATTTCCTTTTATTTGTCCTGGATTTCCCAGCAATTAGCCTCAGGGGATGACCCCAGTTTCTAGCATTACAAAAGGAGGACAGCAGTATGTGGGGAAATGCTCAAGTCAGATAGCTTGAATTTTATCAGGGTTGTTCCCAACTTGGTTCAGAACATGTTATTTTTCCTTGGTGGGAGAAAGCATGCAAGGTTTTGTGTTCATCGAACAGAATGAAAATATTATGTGAGAAAATGTTTCAACAGATTCTAGTAGTTAGCTCCACATCTGTTATGTTTAAAAAACAGATTATACCTGGAAATATGTTTTAGGAATTAACTGCTGACTTACTGTGCAATTGGTATGGTTGACATTATTGTTTCAATGAACACATCAGGCATGTAGTTAATATAAATAAACCAACTGCATATCAGTTTGAGAATAAAATGCATGATGATCCAGCAGAAAAGCCGGATTACGGCGAAATCCATTGCAAACATTCTAAGAAGGTTCAGAGTAACATTAGTGGAAAATTCAAAACAAAGAGAGCTAGAAACTACTCCAGATTAATCCATTCAGGATTTCAACAACACGATGCTACCATCTGCTGGTAAAAGTATCCCTATGTGAAATTAAATGACATGTGTCCAAAGGACTAGAGATAATATAAAGAGTTATCTGAAACTCTTTATATTTCAGATAACTGAAAGACTAACACTTTCTGACATAAACTTTCATGGATTATAGCTCAATTTATTGGATGAGTGAAGGTGTCCTGAGTTTGGCCCTTTCCTTCTTGCCCTTAGGCTCCAAAACAGAGACAATCTTTTTGCAATGCAGATTTTTATTGGCTCCTTGCAACTACAAGACAAAGGAACTCTAAAATCCCTCTATCAAGCTGCTCATGTAAAAAGTGTTGAACCCAAATTGGGAGCTTTTCCCCAAAATCATTACCTTTCAGCAATGCTGGGGGCTCCACCCTCAGGATGGTTTCTGCTGCTGAAGGGCCAGCTAGGAAGAGCTATGCAAGCCCTCTAACCGGGTAGCTCATCTTTCCCAATGCCTCACCATGGGGTCAGAAACCAGGAAAGGCAGTGGCTTTCCTTTTCCCCCTTCTTGGACGTCTCTTCCAAAACTTCTTTGGTCTCCTGGCTGGCCTGGGAACTTGTGGGCAGTGACCTTGAGTGTGCTTCAAAGACTTCTGCCTCTCTTTGAATTTCCAAAACTCCCATAACTGAATCTTCAGAA